AAAGATAGAAAGATGGTGGTGAACAAGCAAGAGAGATGGAAAGAGAATGGTGAACAAGCAAGAGAGATGGAAAGAGAAAGATAGAAAGATGGTGGTGAACAAGCAAGAGAGATGGAAAGAGAAAGATAGAAAGAGAATGGTGAACAAGCAAGAGAGATGGAAAGAGAAAGATAGAAAGATGGTGGTGAACAAGCAAGAGAGATGGAAAGAGAAAGATAGAAAGAGAATGGTGAACAAGCAAGAGAGATGGAAAGAGAATGGTGAACAAGCAAGAGAGATGGAAAGAGAAAGATATAAAGATGGTGGTGAACAAGCAAGAGAGATGGATAGAGAAAGATAGAAAGAGAATGGTGAACAAGCAAGAGAGATGGAAAGAGAAAGATATAAAGATGGTGGTGAACAAGCAAGAGAGATGGAAAGAGAATGGTGAACAAGCAAGAGAGATGGAAAGAGAAAGATAGAAAGATAGAAAGATGGTGGTGAACAAGCAAGAGAGATGGAAAGAGAATGGTGAACAAGCAAGAGAGATGGAAAGAGAAAGATAGAAAGATGGTGGTGAACAAGCAAGAGAGATGGAAAGAGAAAGATAGAAAGAGAATGGTGAACAAGCAAGAGAGATGGAAAGAGAAAGATAGTGGTGAACAAGCAAGAGAGATGGAAAGAGAAAGATAGAAAGATGGTGGTGAACAAGCAAGAGAGATGGAAAGAGAAAGATAGAAAGAGAATGGTGAACAAGCAAGAGAGATGGATAGAGAAAGATAGAAAGATAGTGGTGAACAAGCAAGAGAGATGGAAAGAGAAAGATAGAAAGATAGTGGTGAACAAGCAAGAGAGATGGAAAGAGAAAGATAGTGGTGAACAAGCAAGAGAGATGGAAAGAGAATGGTGAACAAGCAAGAGAGATGGAAAGAGAAAGATAGAAAGAGAATGGTGAACAAGCAAGAGAGATGGAAAGAGAAAGATAGTGGTGAACAAGCAAGAGAGATGGAAAGAGAATGGTGAACAAGCAAGAGAGATGGAAAGAGAAAGATAGAAAGATGGTGGTGAACAAGCAAGAGAGATGGAAAGAGAAAGATAGAAAGAGAATGGTGAACAAGCAAGAGAGATGGAAAGAGAAAGATAGTGGTGAACAAGCAAGAGAGATGGAAAGAGAAAGATAGAAAGATGGTGGTGAACAAGCAAGAGAGATGGAAAGAGAAAGATAGAAAGAGAATGGTGAACAAGCAAGAGAGATGGAAAGAGAAAGATAGAAAGAGAATGGTGAACAAGCAAGAGAGATGGAAAGAGAAAGATAGTGGTGAACAAGCAAGAGAGATGGAAAGAGAATGGTGAACAAGCAAGAGAGATGGAAAGAGAATGGTGAACAAGCAAGAGAGATGGAAAGAGAAAGATAGTGGTGAACAAGCAAGAGAGATGGAAAGAGAAAGATAGAAAGATAGTGGTGAACAAGCAAGAGAGATGGAAAGAGAAAGATAGAAAGATAGTGGTGAACAAGCAAGAGAGATGGAAAGAGAATGGTGAACAAGCAAGAGAGATGGAAAGAGAATGGTGAACAAGCAAGAGAGATGGAAAGAGAAAGATAGTGGTGAACAAGCAAGAGAGATGGAAAGAGAAAGATAGAAAGATAGTGGTGAACAAGCAAGAGAGATGGAAAGAGAAAGATAGAAGATAGTGGTGAACAAGCAAGAGAGATGGAAAGAGAAAGATAGAAAGAGAATGGTGAACAAGCAAGAGAGATGGAAAGAGAAAGATAGAAAGAGAATGGTGAACAAGCAAGAGAGATGGATAGAGAAAGATAGAAAGATAGTGGTGAACAAGCAAGAGAGATGGAAAGAGAAAGATAGAAAGAGAATGGTGAACAAGCAAGAGAGATGGAAAGAGAAAGATAGAAAGAGAATGGTGAACAAGCAAGAGAGATGGATAGAGAAAGATAGAAAGATAGTGGTGAACAAGCAAGAGAGATGGAAAGAGAAAGATAGAAAGATAGTGGTGAACAAGCAAGAGAGATGGAAAGAGAAAGATAGAAAGAGAATGGTGAACAAGCAAGAGAGATGGAAAGAGAAAGATAGAAAGATAGTGGTGAACAAGCAAGAGAGATGGAAAGAGAAAGATAGTGGTGAACAAGCAAGAGAGATGGATAGAGAAAGATAGAAAGAGAATGGTGAACAAGCAAGAGAGATGGAAAGAGAAAGATAGAAAGATAGTGGTGAACAAGCAAGAGAGATGGAAAGAGAAAGATAGTGGTGAACAAGCAAGAGAGATGGATAGAGAAAGATAGAAAGAGAATGGTGAACAAGCAAGAGAGATGGAAAGAGAAAGATAGAAAGATAGTGGTGAACAAGCAAGAGAGATGGAAAGAGAAAGATAGAAAGAGAATGGTGAACAAGCAAGAGAGATGGAAAGAGAAAGAAACCTGTCTATTAAGCCCACTCAATGAAAATAAACAAGTGGCCTTTATAGATAGTGGCCATTATAGATAGTGGCCTTTATAGATAGTGGCCATTATAGATAGTGGCCTTTATAGATAGTGGCCTTTATAGATAGTGGCCTTTATAGATAGTGGCCTTTATAGATAGTGGCCTTTATAGATAGTGGCCTTTATAGATAGTGGCCTTTATAGATAGTGGCCTTTATAGATAGTGGCCATTATAGATAGTGGCCTTTATAGATAGTGGCCTTTATAGATAGTGGCCTTTATAGATAGTGGCCTTTATAGATAGTGGCCTTTATAGATAGTGGCCATTATAGATAGTGGCCTTTATAGATAGTGGCCTATATAGAGAGGTCCCCAGTAGTAATGTACAAGGCAAAGGAAGATGCAAAACATAAAAACACTCAGGATGTGAAATATGATGGAATAAAAGAGAATCTGAAAACTCGATGAGAACTAGACTTCTGGGGGTATTTAGAGGATTTAAAGGAAAACTTATAAACGGAAAGAAAAGGGAAGATGATAAATAAAGATTTGATATGAAGCTACAATATCATGGTGTATTACGCCTCCAATAGACCTGTTTACTAACTTTATAATAAAAGTTTCTATTGATGACTGACAAGTTTGCCCAACATAGAGTATAAATATACTGTCTTGAGAAATTTCTGGTTAAAGGTACAGACCAGTTTTGGAAATGCCCCCCTCTCAAAAAAATGAAATGGAAGCTCTTATTACCAATCATGTGAAAGAATATGTTTTGACTAATACGTAATGATACAAATTTTGCAGAGAAACCGCCTACTAATTGATATATTTGGTACCGTAAATTATTTTATCTATTTGGACCTGATAGATATCACGCATGTGTCGCGTAGTCCCATATACATCTTTCTGTGTACAGTGCTTGTAACTTTACCAAGATATGGCCAAATTTCTTATCAGTTTGATGATTCCAGAACCTTGCAGTACACACCAATACTTGTATGCTAGATGATCAACCTTTTCTGATCGATTACATGTTTCTTTCACAGTGCAATCGCATGACCAGAATTGGTCTTTATCTTTAAAACTATGGGCAAGAGGCGACTCCAATAGTACTAATGGAGTCACCAAGGCATATAGCTGTAACCAGTACCGCGTAAAAATGGCAGGGTATATTAGTATATACTGCATCAACAATTTATTTTCCAAACAAATATTTAAAAATTATAAAAATTCAAGTGAAGTAAATTGGTTTAATTTTTTTATTATATTTCTGGTCAAGTGAAGAGCACTCAACCAAGCAAAAACCCAATACATTTTGATGCAGGATATAATAACTAATGTATGCAAATAGAATTCCATCCATAGAAATGCCAGGCAAATCAAATAATTTGTTAGTCAAGGATTTTGGAGAGAAGCTTACACAGGTCTAATGGGAATACTCATTCACCAAGGACACCTACAGGCTACAGAGAAAACCTTTTCAAAAGATGATTCCACAAAACTTTGTATCATAGTCATATAAAATGATGATAATCTTTAATGTGCAAAGCATGGATACATTATTACACAAAAAATTAAACATACATAACAAAAATGTAGCTTCAAAGTAAAATATTCACAGTTCATAATTATATTCATTGCAACAATAATTTCATCAGAATCATTCTGATGAAATAAATACATGTACAAATTTCAAACTTTGGCTGCCATGTTGTTAAACGTCAACATTAAAATAAAATGTTTTCATTTTACTGAGGGTCATATACTCCTATTGATCCCTTTAATTTCACCTCTAAATAAAATTGTCCTTCATTTCTTCTACTGAGAACCAACATTTTCATGACTGTCGGTTTATAGAGTATTGAATTGTTTCTGATGCAAAAAACAGAATCTCTATCAGAATATCTGTCAAATAGGAACATGAATTTGCAATGATTTCTTAAACCTTAAAGCAAGTCATAAAAAACGGCACCTAACCCCCTTAATTTCAAAACAAATTTACATCGATCCCAGGACTTTGATAAAAAAGTCATGATAAAAAAAAAATCAGGGAAAAATAATAAATGGGAAACCAATTTAAATAGGGAAATTATCAGGGGAAGTTTTCCCCCTATGGCACTGAAAACAAATCTTGGTGTTGAAGAATGGCTCCCTGGCCTCAGTCGATAGCTACTGCCTAGGCACTGAAGAACTGATACCAAGTGATGAGTCCATTCTATAGGAGCTAAATACAATAGGAATGTGCCCTGAAACAATGAATCAACTTGCATTATGCCTTGATGGTTGAGAGAAATCCCATTAGGTCCACAGTACTTTTGTGTCTTAGAGGTGTCGTGGTCGAGTGGATACGTCACCCGACTGTGGATCAAAAGGTCCTTGGTTCGAGTCCCGTCGCAGCACTAATGTCCTTTGGCAAGACATGATCTACATTTGCCACACTCAACCCAGGTGATGTAAATTGGTACCTGGCAGGAATTAATTCCTTGAAATGCTAGAGCGCCGTATGGCAGCCGTGCAAAAGCCAGGGTAATAATCAGGAGCACCAGGAGTGTCAAGTCTAACAGATATGAGCGCTATACAAGAACCCACTATTATTAATATACTTAACAGATGAGTGTTTTTGGTTCGGGCTAGACTGTTCATACCATCTAATAGCTCAGTTGGTAGAGCAGTGGTCTCGTAATCCAGGGACCCGGGTTCAAAACCAAGGCGATGATGCGCTAGTGCCCTTTGGTAAGGCATTAATCCTCATTACCAGGTCTCTCGGAGAGGACCTAAAGCAGTCGGTCCTCTGGCTGGTTACTTAGCAGTCAGGTAAACTAACCACCACTACTAGCGTCCTACATTAAGAGTTTTGACAATGACGAGTCTTCTTCATCCATCTCTACTTCCATGTCCAGACTTGAGTTTGACTTCTCCGTCGTAGCAACGACCTCCTCTTTGACTACCACTTCCAGGTCAGGAACGGTTTCACTCCCGCCTGAGATTGTGTGTAGAGAGAATGAGAGATAGAGGAGATATAAGATTAAGAACATTCAGTAAATTAACAATGGATTGATAAAATGATAAAACGTAAGGGTGGAGAAAAAAGAGGAAACAAAGATAGAAAAATAGGAGAATTAGGGAGAGAGGTAGAGGGAGACACAGAGAGAGAGAAAGAGAGAGATAGAGAGAGAGAGAGAGAGGACAACCTTATTAAGAAAACTGAAGATCAAACAAGCTTCCAGATAAAATTCTAGGCTTATTCAACTCAAACTCACGAGACAGTCGTCTCTCTTTTCACAAATAATAACCATAAAGTAGACTTAGCAACTTGTGAGCTTTTACTCTTAAACTTGCATTCACAATTTAAGATCACTATAGGGCGGAGGGATAGAGGGGTGGGGGGGGGGGGGGGAAGGAAAGGGAGGAGGGAAGGGGTGGAAGGGAAGGGAGGTGACATCTCTCCAATGTCATTCTCTATGCTGTTTGTTAACAATGCAAACAATCATGAAAGCGAGCGAGAGGTATAAAAAGGAGAGGAGAGGAGAGGGAGAGGAGAGCGAGAGCGAGAGGAGAGGAGAGGCAGAGAGAGGAGAAGGGGGAGGGGGAGGGAGAAAGAGAGGGGGAGGAGAGGGAGGAAGGGAGAGGGAGAGCGAGAGGAGAGGCAGAGAGAGGGGAAGAGAGAGGGGGAGGAGAGGGGGAGGAGAGGAAGGGGGAGGAGAGGAGAGGAAGGGGGAGGAGAGGAGAGGAAGGGGGAGGAGAGGAGAGGAAGGGGGAGGAGAGGAGAGGAGAGGGGAGAGGGGGAGGAAAGGAGAGGAGAGGAGGGTTGGGGAGAGGAAGGGGAGGAGAGGGTGGGGTAGGGGGTTGAGGGGATGTCTGACCCACCTGTACACGGTGACATCTCTCCTATGTACTGCTCTATGCTGTGTGTTAACATGGTCACTGAGAATGTATCGTCACGACCAACTCCAAGTGCCTGAAGAGCAAACAAATAACGTGTCATTTCATCAAGTGAGTACACATGTACATACAACATTAAAGCCGATATCAAGTAATAGAAATGCTCCTGCAAATCATTTATTGTCAGAATGATCATCTACAAACAGAATAAGTTTGTAAAGTTTCATTTTAAAATCCCTCTGGACATATAAACAGACAAATTATTATTATTATATTAATTAAGGTAAATTATTTTGAATCATCATGCAGCCTGGTTGATCACTTACCTTGTGGAAGTAGTCGATGGCTTTAGAGAACTGGCTCATGAGAGCATACACATAACCAATGGCTGAGAACGTAGAGGGATTCTGGGGACTTAAGATCAAGGCTTGTCGATGGTACTCCAAAGACTCCTCGTATTTCCTGTTATGAGAAGTATTATATGATTCATGATTGAACACACTGAACGGAACTGCCTTTTATAGATCAAACTGAAATGAATGGAATGGTGATCATCAGTGAAAAGATAATGTCTGGTTGAGTTTCCCTCTCTCGATATTTTATATTTTAGTGTATTTATTTAGTAATCATGATCAATTCATGTTTCAAAACAGCAGTTCTTGTGTTATATAATACTAATACACCTTGAAATGAAAAAAATGACCAATATCTTCTATCAGTTTCATTACTGATATCCTATATTATCCTATAGATCCTCTGCAATACCACAACTACCACATTTCCCATGTAAGCATCATCTAACTTGCCACCATTACCTCAATACCATCATCATCACCACTACTATTACCACAATCACTACCACCAACACCACTAACACACAATCTTCACCATCACCACCACCACCACTACCACCATCATCAATACAATCATCCCCACCAACACCATCTTCATCATTACCAAGCTCAATCCCTTCATCTTACTTGAGTTTTCTGTAGACGTGACCTAGATTGTTGAGTAATGGTTCCCATTCAATACAATCACCACCATCACTACCACCACAATCATCAATACAATCACCACCAACACAATCATCAATACAATCATCACCACCACAATCATCAATACAATCATCACCACCACAATCATCATAATCACCGAGCTCAATCCTCTCATCTTACTTGAGTTTTCTGTAGACGTGACCTAGATTGTTGAGTAATGGTTCCCATTTATCTGCTAGTGTCTGGCTGTTGATGTTCTGTACGATACCCAGTGCTTCATTGAAATGTGTGGCAGCAGTCTCCCAGCTATGGAACAAAAGATAAGAACAACATGCTTTCAGGATACATCTGATACTGCTAATTCTGAAGAAATGCAGTTACTGACATATATTCTTTAGAAGTGAAACCAAATGTTAAGAATGTCTCCAAACCATTCTACTGTAAAGCCACAAGAGAGTTAATAAATGTACCAATTTGCTGGGGATCTATTCATTAACTTCCCGGTATCTGGGAAATCAAAATAATTAAATTAGTAGTAAATAAGATTGGCATATCTCATGTTCTAGTTCACTCTCTATTGTGAAAGGCCACAACTCCTATCTCAATCAGAACTAGATGCACCTTCGACTGCACGCAGTCAAAAATGATGCCTCCGCCATGGAGCAATTTTACAAACCAACACAGAGGCAATTTTAAAATTCAAGTTTGATTGTAATCCGCTTAAAGATTCTCAGAATAATGTGACTACAATCTATTTTTCATATACATGTTTGACCCTTTGATCTTTGACCTCATGAACATAAAATCGAATCACTTCATTGGCTCTGCAAGATACATACATGACCCAAGTTTGGCGGGAATCCATCAATGGGTTCTTGAAATAACGCGATCATGAGCTATTTTTGCATACATAATCAGCCCTGTGACCTTTGACCTTGGATCTTGTGACCCCATATCTAACAACTTCTGACAACATCTGACAAACATCTCTAAGGTCCTACTCACTCTCCATTATGAAAGGCCACCACACCCATCTCATGAAGAACAAATGGATCACTGCTTGCAATGCCTAGAGCCTGACTGAAGAACTTATCAGCTAGCTTGAAGTTCTTGGTGAGGCCATACTCTAAGCCCACGTACAGCAGGGGTAGGTGACATCTGCCAGAGAGGGACAAAAGCAGATAATACTGATGAATGAGATCAATGAGCTGTTCTTCAACTTTGGATCAAGCGCATTTAGAAGTGGAAAATAGGTGACATATTTTTGCGTCCCAGTGATAAATGATCTCTTCCATTGGTCACAGATATAAGTTTAGATATTGGGTTGAGGTTATGCTTTAGTAGATGTAGGGTTAAGGTTAAGTTGAATGGTGTTGGGCCCATAAAGGATTTATTGGATCAAGGTTATCAGCAGCAAATACCACCAAAGAATAAAACAAAAAGTGTCAGAAGGCATTGTATCAGGGACCCGTTTCACAAAGCCTTTTTTCAATGACAAATGACAAAAATCAGTGACAAATCTGCTGATTATAACCAATCAGAAGCAAGGATTTCACTAGCTTATAACAAAAACTGTCATATGTCACCGATGACAAGTTTTGTGAAAAGGAGCCCTGATCTGGTTAATCAATATCTCCAAACAAAAGCTTACACAAATTTATACAACATACTTTGCAATGATAACAAATCTATTTACTGAATATCCAGGACATTACTCTCCGTTTTTAATTTCACAATTTTCATGAAAATGTCCCAACTTGCGAAATGAAAACAGTTACTTGGAGTGTTTATATATATTTATGGATGTGTTTGGGATATCCTACAGCAATATTAAGTGCTTAAATTAGGGTCCAGTTTGTCTCAATCTGTGAAAATACCGATTACACCTTAAAACCCTATACATAGTAAGAGGAGAAAAACAAACATCATATGTACCCTTTCATGAGTCTTGATGCTGTGAAGTAAGCAGCCATGGCCTGGTCATGTTCTCCTTCAGCTGCAAAGGAATGTCCAAAGGCTAACCAGGCTGGTCCGTAGAGACGATCTATCGCTGTAGCTTTGCTGTGATAGGAAGGAAAGGAATACACAGATGATGAAAATTATTATATTCTACACTGAAGTACCGGTAATGGAGATAGATTTTCATAGGAATGATATTCTTAATCCTATTGTGTGTGTGTGTGTGTGTAATTGGGTTTTTACAGACGTGTATCAATCAGATGTGATTATTTACGTCTGGGGACCGACCTTTAATGTCACCATCCAAAAGATACGACTCATTTTCAAACCGGGGTCACCTGAGCCAGTTTGTAGGCGTAGACAGAGAGCTGACCAAGTGAACCGACTCACATCTCCCTAATCATATTTTCTTGCGAGCTTCCTTATAAATGATCTGTAGATGCAGCTTGGTGTAATACCGGTAGGCAACAATTACACAGAGGATGAAAGAATAATGGAAAGGTTGGGTCTGGAAGACACTGTGGTGGTGGTGGTGGTAAAGAGAAGTACATTGAGATGGATGGGCCATGTGTTGAGAAGGGAAGACGATGGACCAGTGAAAAGAGCATGGGATCTGGAAGTGGATGGCATAACAGGGAAAGGAAGACTGAAGATTTTATGGATATGGTTCTGAAAGAAAGCTTTAAGGTTGGTCTAAATGAGGAGGATGCTTGAGACAAGAAGTGGAGGGAGTGAGTGTCATCATGGTGCAAAAGTAAGTAACTCCTCGTAAGAGGGAAATTGCCGACGTCAATAAACATACATAAAAGGAAATTCATCAGAGCCAGAATGGAAGGTCATTAACTTATGTGTTGTGTTATTATATGAGTAAATGCTCTTCTTGCTCCGTACAGACGATTTAAAAAATACAAACACAAGTACTATTAAAGAGCTATACATGTCTATCAAATATCCCCCAAAAAGGCATCAAAATAGCAACAAGACTACGGTCAACATCACCACTAATCATTTATTGATTTATTCATTGCTCTTTTTGACTGTGGATGTCAGAAAGCTGAGGTTTGAGTGTTGTGAATACTGTATTCATACAGCTGGGAAGTCCTAAAACAGGATGTAGGATTAATGCATGAAAAGTTGAGAAAACAACGAGAACTACTCCCATGACTAACATCCATACTACATCACACAAGAGCTATTTTCAGGTCTAAATATGTAATAAAAATATTGCTAAGTATATGTTTATCTATTGTTTTTCTTCATAATAAGTTTCACTTTAATTCAATTACGTTATCAAATAAACACAAGACTATATCATTGTTATAACTTCCGGAGCCTATGACCTACAAGCATTGCTTTCTCTTTAGGCTCCATCATATTTCTTCCTTTATTCAACTTAGTCTTATGTATTGTTCTTTTTGTTTGTATAAATGCATCCAAAAATGATTACAAAAATGTAACATGCCACATGTAATGATGTATTTTATATACCTCACTTAAGTAATCCAGCAATCTGATTGGTCGAAATTGCATTCATAAACTTTAACTGTTCCCGAAAATTCCCGGTAACCATGGTTAAAAAACAGTTCAAAATCCCAATAACCATGGTTATTGGGAAAATAGGTCAGTCTCCATGGTTACCCCATAGGTTTACATGTTAAAAAATGGTCTGAGCGATCGAGGATACCGTACGTGTGCAAAGAATTGGTCCGTAATTTCAATACAATTGAATCTCGATCGATCTTACCGACAATTTTATCTTGCATTGTTGACATGAAGACGAAAATAAACTTCCAAAAACAAAAAAACAACATCTGCCGATAGATCTTGATCTAAGTTCGTGCCAATATGCATTGCAAAAGTAAAAGAAGGGCCCGTTTAATGGAGCAGCGGCGAAGCATCGACCACGCGAAGCCGTTTTCAATTCATTTTAATGTATATATTAAAGAAAACTACTATACATGGTGACAGAGCGCGCTGGCCGAGCGGATTAAGGCGCTGGTTTTAGGTACATCACCTTTTGTTCGCAAGAGATCGAATCTCATCTTCGACAAAAGTTTTTTTTTTTTTTTTTTTTTTTTTTTGGCATATAAAAGTATTAATGACTGCTTTAATATTCGAGAAATAGTTGTTTTTATACGCTCTCGGGAAGGTTACAATTGGGCTATTCCCCTCGGCACGCCTCGGGTAATAGCACAATTCTAACCTTCCCTTGAGCGTATAAAAACAACTATTTCTCTCAAAGCAGTCATTAATACTATAATACAACATGTGAAATATGAAAATAAACTGAAACTGAAACTGAACTGAACTTTTGTTATCAATGATTTTATTCATTAGAAATGTTGTCTGACAGTGGTTTTAGGGTGTAAAATTCCTATAAGCCTTGTATACATCTACTTACCTTAGAAACCTTCTCGCAGGTTCATTCTTTCCTACAAGGTAATAGTAACACCCCACAGCAAACCAAGACACTGCTTTATCAGGATGAAGATCAACTAATCTACTTACCTTAGAAACCTTCTCGCTGGTTCATTCTTTCCTACAAGGTAATAGTAACATCCCACAGCAAACCAAGACACTGCTTTATCAGGATGAAGATCAACTAATCTACTTACCTTAGAAACCTTCTCGCTGGTTCATTCTTTCCTACAAGGTAATAGTAACATCCCACAGCAAACCAAGACACTGCTTTATCAGGATGAAGATCAACTAATCTACTTACCTTAGAAACCTTCTCGCTGGTTCATTCTTTCCTACAAGGTAATAGTAACATCCCACAGCAAACCAAGACACTGCTTTATCAGGATGAAGATCAACCAATCTACTTACCTTAGAAACCTTCTCGCTGGTTCATTCTTTCCTACGAGGTAATAGTAACATCCCACAGCAAACCAAGACACTGCTTTATCAGGATGAAGATCAACTAATCTACTTACCTTAGAAACCTTCTCGCTGGTTCATTCTTTCCTACAAGGTAATAGTAACACCCAACAGCAAACCAAGACACTGCTTTATCAGGATGAAGATCAACCAATCTACTTACCTTAGAAACCTTCTCGCTGGTTCATTCTTTCCTACAAGGTAATAGTAACATCCCACAGCAAACCATGACACTGCTTTATCAGGATGAAGATCAACCAATCTATGGGCTAGGTAGAATAGTTCTGAAACAAAAGTAATGAACAATATACAAATGATTCAGGTTTGCGAGTACATCAGTAGATATGCACTGCATGCATCAATGTCTTCGTCATCTTAAACTCTGTGAATTTCAATGCATTTTAATTTTGTATGTGCCAGAGACGAGCATACAGGCTTTTTAGCAGTGCATTATACTTTTAGCCATGGTTTATCACTTTTTGATGAAACTCTATTGCATGGTACGAGTGGTAGAAGAGATTGACGCATGGTCACGTGGTCTCATTTGACCAATGAGATTGCAGACTTACTAAAACCAGTTTTATAATAATGGAAAGGTTGAAATTACTTTTCACACATCTGTATTCATAAGAATTCAAAATAGAAATTACAGATTACTCTTGTAATTTACACAAATCCAACATAGAATATTGATTGAACAACATATAAACCTATTCCACTTCAACACAACAGAATACATCAAAATGGGAACACATATGTCATATGGGCGAGTTGACAGAAATTGTGGTGACTCTGAGTCGATGTTTAACATGTACTTCTTACCTCAAAACTTCTCTCCACACAACGTATAAGTACCAATATCTAATTTTAAAGAAGTGTTGCAATTACAACTTGACAATAAATTGAAATGCTTACCATTAGATTTCTTTAGCTCCACTAATGTTGCTATATGGACTGGTAAACACGTCTCGTGGAATGGATCTGATTCAAGTACACTGTAATGGAAGAGATTAGACACAGTGAGATATGATTCCAGTCACTGACATGGTTGAATACATGATAAGTAGTACACATTGCTTTGATATTACATACAAGGTAACATTGTAATTAACGATAACGATAAGTATAAAGGCACAGTTGAAATAATGTTTGAGCTCTATACAAGAACCCATTATTATTATTATTATTAATAAAGATAAAATTTAAAGCCCCACTGTCCTACTTGTAGCTACTTGCTCCCTCTATATAGAAAACAAAGGCTAATCGGTGACCATTGGTCCCCCATGATCCTCTTTTTCTTATGTTAATTGAGAGCTGAGTTGATGAGATAGCCACCTGTCACTGACCACGCTGTGTGGTCTAATCCCTCCTGGCCAAACTAGTACAGCCAGCCTTTAAGGTCTGGTAAATATAGAAAATAATCTACTGCAGAATAAATAATCCAGAATAAATCAAAGCAATTTTCCCTCAAAAACATGATTCCCATACCAGAGCTCAAGATTAGATTTAATATATGAATTGATAATGCACAGTAACTACACAAATATATTCTACTGTGCATATTAAGTACAAAGTATTGTATCATTAAGACCAGTTTAGCTGAGCTCCTACAGGCATCATAAGGTACTTAAGCATAAAAACAGGTTATGATAACATTTATCAAAACTTTTACAATTGTGTAATTGGTATGCTAAACATGTGATTTAAGACCAATCTCAGCTTATAGTTTTCTTAGAGTAATCACTAACTAAAGTACCCACCTGCGAGTGATTTTATAGCTTGTCCTGAAGTCGCAGTTATAGTAGTGTCTCTCTGCTGTATTGGTCTGAATGTCTAGATTATTACCGAGGCTTATCAGGCAGTCTGCTAGCTTCGTTGATACTGGCTTGTCATACTAATGAAAGGTAAAGAGAAAGAGAAATGGTAAAAGAGATAATAATAATAATAATAGTTTGTTTTTATATAGCGCTTTTCAGGACCGAAGGCCCTCTCAAAGCGCTTTACAGATATATATTATTACCCCGGTCATCGGATTCAGGCTTACCCGTACACAATGTATGCACATTCTCCACTCCCTGGGGAGTATTCCAGCCAGGCGTCATTTTTACAAGCACACACTTGCTAATCTAAGCACATTAGCTTTCGCATCCTACCGGGTACCCATTTTGCACCAGGGCAGAGAGTGGCAAATGTAGATCAATGTCTTGCCAAAGGACATCAGTGCTGCGGCGGGACTTGAACCGCTGACCTTGTGATCCACAGCACGTGACACGGAGATGAAGTTAAAAGGATATGGGACCCCTAATCTTTTTAAAAGACATCCCTATAAAGGATAGAAGAGTCTTATTTAAGATTACTGTCACTGGGTTGTAATGAATAAAATGTGTGATTTGTTTACTGGTAAATGAAAAGAAGCCCTCCTGAATATTAGTCCAACTTAAACAGATCAATGAACAAGCTTCAATACACCACTGATAATATCTATGCCGTACACTGTATTTCTTAGTTTGGGATAGAGAAGCATCAGCTTTTAATTGAACAATTCATTAAATTCTAATCAATTATGCAAAGTGCTAGTCATACTTATTCTAACATATTTTCATATGACAAAACATAATTATAACTTAATTCTCATAAACCACATCATACAGAAAACACAACACAATATAAAAATTAACACAAAGACAGTCTGAAACCTACTTTCTTGAGAATACTTTGGTAGAGACTTCTGACAAACTCCAAGTCCTCTAGAGGGCACTGTTCACTGATCGGTAATGACTGAAGAAGGTCCTTCTCTGCAACATACACACAGTACACAATGTAAATCACAATGTCAAAGTAAGGCTGAGTATTGTGCTGATTCTCATAAAATGAATAATGATAGCATACATGCCAACTGTTCAGATTAAAGAGGAACATTCCTCTTTTTGGGAGAAGATAATTATCATTTTAATGCAGGTGTTCCTCTTCCTGTACAAATTTGTCTGTAGTATTGAATAGGAGAGTTAGGATTGTTCCTCTTTTTTTTTTGAAAATAGCATAATTTGTACAGATTTCTGATTTTCAAATGTTGGCATGTATGTGATAGTAATTGGCATTTGTATAGCACCATCTATCTCAAACTTCTAGTTCAAGGCACGAAAGAATGATAAAAGACACACTGTATAGAAAGTCCAATGTGCTAGCCATGAGCCCTATACAAGAAACCACGATTGTCATTATTACAATTATGATGATTGTCATCATCATCATCAATATTATTACTATTATTGTCATTATTATTATTATTATTATTACTAAGTGCCACTTTTATATGATCCAAGAATTAACAAGAAAGAATGCTTTTCAAGTTGGTATTTACATTGAAGGAAGGCTCCTTTTAGAAATGAGTGCTGAGGTCTTGTTACAAGTTCATTGTTTTCAACATGGTGTTTTAGAATGGCTTGGGTCAGGTCAAGTATCATGTAGTCCCATACAGGTGATTTTATGTTGCTTATTAAACTAACCTTCATCCGCAGTCAGCATCTGGTGTTTGACGAGTAGCTCAAATGCCTCATAGCAATGAACATCTTCAAAGATAGCCTGTCTGTAGCACTCTGCTGCCTGGATACGATTCTCAAGGGCCTCGTAGATCTGACCTTTCAAAAGGGACATCGAACTCTCAACCTTCACATTAGAAAGAAAATAAAAGAAACAGCAACATTAACAGTGTATCTGTTAATTTATAGATCTGACCCTTCAAAAGGGACATCGAACTCTCAACCTTCAAGTTAGAAAGAAAATAAAAGGAACAGCAACATTAACAGTGTATCTATTACTTCATAGGTCTGACCCTTCAAGAGGGACATCGAACTCTCAACCTTCAAGTTAGAAAGAAAATAAACAAAAAAACAACATAAACAGTGTATCTGTTAATTTATAGATCTGACCCTTCAAAAGGGACATCGAACTCTCAACCTTACAAAGTTAGAAAGAAAATAAAAGAAACAACAATATTAACAGTGTATCTATTACTTCATAGATCTGACCCTTCAAGAGAGACATCGAACTCTCAACCTTTAAGTTATTAAGAAAATAAAAGAAACAGCAACATAAACAGTGTATCTGTTACTTTCAAACAAGAAAATGCACAAATTTACTCTGTTTATCATTCAAAATGTAGCCAAGAGCGATATCACAATCACATAAACAGGACTAACTTATGTAAAGAGAAGTTTTACCACTACAAATTGCTTACCTTTTTCTTATAATTTGAATTCAAATGGACGTTTTCACAAGTGTTATATTTGAACAGTATGATCATAGATCAATGACAGACCATTAAACTTGCCTTGATCTCAAGAAAACAATCACTCTAACCATTTACACTTTTTTAAATCTACCAAAGAAACATTTCCTAATATCTCAAATTTATTACAAATGCTACCCTTGCCCCTCATAAGAAATAAATGAAACAGCCTCATGCAAATATGACGTGGCAAAACTGCAGCATTTAATTTTTGTAATGATAACTTAAAGTGTGATACCTTTCACATTTCTATATCGTACAACACATACCTCAGTAAATGCGTGCAGGACCATTGTTGCACACATTTGCCATTCATTTACACGTAAAAAAGTTTTTGCAGCAGTATATCCGATCGTGCCATATCTGAGTGACCTATTACACAATAATATGACACACCAAACACAACCAAATGTAGAAAGAGTCACAATAATTACATTTTGTAGTGGGATCCTGTCTAGCTCGTCTTTCTGGTCTTCTAATTTCATCTCTTCAATTCTTGGCTGAAAGATCGTGATGTCACTCTCATCACATCCCTCAAGAACATTGAGGGCCTCCTCCCACTTCTGAACAGCTTCCTAAAATGACGATGAAGAAGAAAACATTTAAGCACACCCTCATTTAATTTAAATTCATATTCATGTGTTCTATATATAATAGATGATTATTTAAGAAACATTATACTTCAAAATTTGTCTTTACTCAGCAGATTTTAGATACATTTTAGATATATATTGTACATGAACTTGTTTTTACAACAGTCTATATCATAATTTTAATATGCATTTATGTTCATTGCAATTTACAGTTCAATTTTCACATGTGTAATAATTCAGAACAGTTAATTTCTATATCCATTCAATTATAATTTAATTTATACTTACTAAGCATTTGGCAGCCAAGTATCTTCCAGCCTTGTGTGTCTTTAAAAAAAAGTATAACACAATTTCAAATTGATAAATTTCATATGTGTTCAAATATGAACAAATAATAAATTCTTGCAAAATACCTATCGTTGGACATGACAATTGGATAAACATGTGCAAATAACTAAAATAGCTAATATGTCAAATGAAGATATTAGTAAATCTAGCACATTCTTCCAACTATCTGGTTAAAATATTTTGAGGAACACTGTGAAGGAAAGGAGATGACAAAAGAGAAAGAAAACAGATTACAGAATCTTCTGTTTTTGAAATTCTTTGTTTGCCAATATAGAGCTTGTCTCACAAATCTGTAAACAAAAATTCATTGCAATACTTTGTAGGCTTAATAAATGTTTTTTCCAGACAAGACTTGAATCTTCAACCTGGAAAATGATAATAGTTTTCAGTAGCTTTTTGGAGTTGTCAAAAACTCAAAGTTTTGAAGGGATGGATATTAGCAGTGCCATTGATTAGGAGAGTTTGGCTAACCCAGTACGAGTTGGACAAAATATGATGAATACTGGTTTGTTGGACAAGCAAAAAACAGAATATATGCCCCGTCAAACTGAAACAAAAATTGTGAAACTCTATGGCCCAAATTCACAAAGGCGGTTTGTCGACAAACCTAGGTTGATGTGCGTCATATGACGTGTTTTGACACACATAAACCTAGGTTTATCGTCAAACCTACTTTGTAAATTTGGGCCTGTGAGTCTGTGCATACATAATGTAGATGGCTCTAGAAAGTAGTTGGTAACTAATTCCATAAACAAAGTGTTTGTCTTCACTGATAATCTTACCTTATCCAATCTCCTATTCCTGATGAGATGAGCTGCTCTGTGATATTGCTTCGTGTGATACAGACTCTGAGCTAGCATGTAAACATCATGGACATCACCTGGTAAGAAAAGGGGAAATACCCAAAGATAGTGACTGACGGGAACGTGATGATTGGTATTACAAAATCATAGAATAGCAACAAATAAACCTTTTCATCTTGCACTGAGCGGAGTAAATCACAAGCATGAACAGGAAGCCGCTCAAAGCCGAAGCTAAAGGAACAAAGTATGCAAACAAATAACAGGCTGTAATTGGCTGAAATTGACAGGAAAGTGTTAAAATCTGTTTTCAGGTCTCGGGGGGGGGGGGGGGGGGGGGGGGGGGGGGTTGTGTTGAAGTCTCCAAATGAAGTAAATTTCCAGTCTGCTTACCTTTTGACATTGTAACGACCTTGTCAGCCCAGAAGACTGCACTATCATATTGATGCTGAGAAAGAGGAGAAAGAGATGAAAAACATGGATTAATTTCTTATTTCCCAATCAAATTTAATGTCAATTAACAACAACAACAAACAAGAGAAAAGAAAATGTAGAGGAGAGGAAGGTAGAGGTTTAGAATAGGAAATAAGGACAGAATATTAGATGTAGGAGAATAAAAGAAAGAAGAGGAGGAAGACAACCAGGAGGAGGAGGAGGAGGAGGAGTAGGAGGAAGAGGAGGAGGAGGGAGAGGAAGAGGAAGAGGAAGAGGAAGATGAAGAAGAAGGAAAAGAAGAAGGAGAAAAGGATGGCATTACTGGCACAGCATTAATTATAATTTATAATGATCATCCGTGGTGCTTTTAACTCTTGCCTATCTTGGACTTGGAGTTTAGGAAGTTTGGCATCACACTTTTTTCCTTTTCCTTACTAGAACATAGTATGAGTATGATCTAGATTTAGGCCTAGGCCTAGGTCTAATCAGATTTTTAAAAATATTCCAAATATTATCTTCTCATTGACATTAGAGCAGTGTCAGTGAACATTATCCCAACTAATGGAAAATTTCCTTTTGCAACAGCCACCTAAAATGACAGCATCCCCATTAGGGTTGGACAGTGAAAGGGTTATAATAAATAATAATGGACAAATCTTCAGTATTTAGTACGTATCACTAACCCTAACGCCCACGGTCAGCATGTGAGCGCAGGTTTAGCGCTCACAGATGACACATTCTGTAAATTTTAGGTGGCTGTCGCAAAATTCACAAACTGTCAAACAGTCAAAGTACATGTAAATGTACACCAAAAAGAAGAGAGATCACTCATCTCATGACATTAGATTCAGAAAGATTTCAAAAGAACATCTGGGGGCCGTTTCTCGAAACCAACTCCATGACAGTCATATCTTTATCGGCGACCTACGGAGATGTCATGAAGCGGATAAACCGTTTCACAAAGCCATGACAGACATGATATCGATATATCGCGATACTAGCAGCTCAAGAACATAGTCTTTGTCACGATCCATTTGATTTATCAAGAATAACCCAAAACAAGTTTTGGGGCTAAAATTGTTCAAAAAGAAATATATACATATAAATTCTCCTAAAATAAATAATAAATAGTGTCATTATCATATTTACATCATCAAACAATTTGCATATTTCTGTAAAGATTCTTAAATTGAAGAAAAACCGGTGAGTGTTTTTTTTTTTGACAGTCGAATCAAAAGTTAGTTGAAGGATACCGTAATGTGATAGTTTATCAATACATACTTTTTTGTTTATTGTGACGAGGAATTTTAGGCAAAATGTCTTTTCTCAGCCAGTTTTTATTCTAGAGTCTCATAAATACTCGTTATATAATTGATTTGATATTGAAAATATAATTTGGAAGAAGTAATTAGAGAGGGAATAATAATGCACATAGGCCCCAAAGGTATGACGGTATCCAAAGAAAAGACTATGGATCGACTATGGAAAACGGTGTGTAACATTCTTACCTCTCTTATTTATATGTTATAGTTTAATGATTTGTGATTTAATGTTTATATTCAGCTTTTTAAAGTTTCTGTATAATTTGTATTCTCACTTTTGTACATTTGCATTTCGCATCCCAGAGAATTACGTACCGAACTCGTCTATATTTTTCTCAAAATGATAGTGAAACTAATCGTCTATTTCGCGGCCCATGGAATGGCAACAAACTGACTTGTGATGGCGCTTTACAGCAATTAAAAAGATATGACAGGTTCGGAGCAGTGACAACTCGCTTGTCGCGGAAGTTGTCACTCATCTTGGCAAAGACGGCTTCTTGAAACACTGAGCTGACAAGTGGCGTGACAGTGGAGAGATGTCGTTGATCTTGTAACTTGTGACGGTTTCGAGAAACGGCCCCCAAGTCATCAGATCAGGGATTAGGCTAGACAGTATTCTCAAATGAGCTTTAAATGTCATGGGCGACATATTTTTTGTCTCTACAATTAGGGACATGCCCAATTAGGTATGTAAGCAGTAAGCAGCTACAATCAGGCCTGCAAATGCAATGACAATGTCAAAAATGAATCAATTAATGAAATTTGAAACTCCTGTTTTGACACTGAGCTGATCTGAGCCGAGGCCGCGGCACTGCGTTGCGCGGCGGCTACTCGGGCGGTACGGTTTACCCTTTGCCAAGCCCAAGGCAGCGGAATCCATAAACAAATCGCAGATTTCTTCCAACGATTAAGCAGTTAAGATTTAAAAAAATAGCTCATTTTCTAAAATATATACATTTAAGACCTACCTTATCAATATAACAGCGGACTAGACTTCGAAATCTTTCTAAACTCATTCTAAAGGACGGTTTATCACTGAAAGTGTAGACAGAAATGACTCAAATAGACCCGCGCATACAAATTTCGCCTTAAAAAAATGAAATAACTAGATATATTTTGTGGAGAAAAACTATGGTATCTGTTATACAGTTTTATTTAAAAATCACGGTTTATCGTGTAAAAAACAATCCTCACATTATATCGATCCGTATTTAGTGGCGGACCCTGTTTAGGCCACCGGGGGGGGGGGGGGGGGGGGGGGGGGGGGGAGAGGGGGAGTTCAAGAAAAAGGGTATTTTTTTCATTTAATGGTTCAAAATCCTTCTGCATGCGCCAGTTTACGCGTTTATAGGTAAATACCCAAAATACCCCCCTCGATACGCCAATGGCAAGCAGCTAGTACTGCCCCTTGTCAGTAACAAATCTCAAATCCGCCACTGAAACTGTTTCGTCAATTTATATTTTTCATTGAATTGGTTCACATTGAATACGCTCAGTCCGCCTCCTTTGCAGCGAAAAAAATAATATAAAAACTATGTATGATTCAGAGGGAATAGATTAATTTTTGTGACCAGAATTTCTGCATAAAAATAGCAGCTAAGAGTAAATTGTACCCCGAATTGTACATTCGGGCATATTGAAGGTATGCTCAAATTTAAAAAAAATTGCATGTTAAAGCTACCGTAGATTCTTTTTTTGTTATGGTCCGCAGCTTCATTTCAATCACACGCCCTCTCCGTTGAAGTGTAAAAAGATAGACAGTAAACATGGACGGAGGCACAGGTAAAATATATAAAATTGTCTTAAATTGTTATTTATGCTCTGATCTACTCATAGTCTTTGGTTCTTGAATTGTATATGTTATATCATTGCATATTATATAGCTTGTTAACAGCATGTCCTGCAACGGTCACTGTGTCGTGTTGCTTAGTTAGGGCTCCGATGCGATGATCGACGTGGAAAATACTCGCGCACGTGGCTGACTCCGCGTGAGTTGTAGCAGAGCTGGATGTGCAGGTAGGCCTACCGCGATGGGTCGGCGAAAGGCTTGTCGCTTTATGTCGGGGTGTTCGTTCAGTGCAGGCGACGTCGTGGCCTGGCCAGATCTTTACCTTTTGCACCCGCTTTCACATTCTACTGAATGACTTATGTTCCAGATTAAGCTTAAGTTAAATGTTGAATGTTGAATGTTTTTCTAAGTCAGTAGTCTAATGTATTAGATCTAGAGTCTAGACCTAGATCTAATTCAATCTTAAAGTTAAATTCCTCTAACTTTTTACATGATTTTTATTTCAAACATGAATTTCAGTGTGAATGTGATTTTAACATTATGAACGATAAATCCTATGAGAAGAGTGACAACCCATAAAAGAAGACAGTGATTAGTGAACTGAGTGGGGGTATTTTATTACGCGAAATCCTTTTTTCGCATTGCCGGCGCATGGATTAGACCTAAAACCCGCCAAAGCCAAAGGCTGAAAAATGAAGAAAAAAAACGTCCACTTAAAATGCTGACGATCGCGATCCTTATCTTTTGAAGATGCAATTTCTGCGTTTACGAGGATATCCTCGTTTAGATCTATGTGACGATCCTTATTCAAGCATGAGCACCCCACCCCAACTGTCGATACAAAGGGGCCGTGATCATGTTGAAAATTGTAAAATTAAAATAACTTTCAATGCGGACATGTCTCTTGAGAGGAGGAGTTATTAGAAGTGTCCACGAAAATGCGGACGATCCTTATTTTTTTAGGACGTGTCTGTCAGTGTTTACAAAGTTTATCCCTATTTATAATGCGGACGATCCTTATTCTCGGACCAGCGCCCCTACTACTGGTAAAGCTAAAAGGGAGGGGAGATGGATCATGGAGGACGATAGGAGATACATGTAGAGACAGTTCACAACACCTCCAGTTTAAATTGTCTCAAATTTTATTTCACAATAATGCTTGTAAAATGTTACAAATTTACCTTTCCTTTGTAATTTTTCTCTCCCTCAAATAGGATCAAGCAAGAAAGCCAAAAAGAGCAAGGAATCCAAATCACTTGGGGTAAGACTAAATTTATTTTATCCCTAAATGTTAATTGTTATGTTTTTTTTAAATTACTAAACTGGCATCTACTCAATGCCTATTTTGTTATCTGTTGAAAGTCTTAATTCAGGACTGATCCTAAGTATTAACCAACCCCTGTAAAATACATTAACAAGGATTGTTCAAGCCATTTGTGATTAGCTACCTGAAATTTATTAATAAGGCTTGGAATTTGATGGAATGCCATCCACATAATTGTTAGCTGTAAAATTAATTTGCTTCAAAGTAAAATCAAATGAGCAATTAAAATATACAATCTGATTTGTCATGGAATAAATGAAGTTAAATGGTCTTTTAAAAGATGCCCAACTTTCAAAGTGTTTGAAAAAATTTTCATTAATAGAAATCTTGATATTATTGTAGAAGCCCTGTAGAAACCATATGGTCACCTGCTCAAAGATTTGCAGTGAAGTGCAACTCTATACATAGGTCAATCAGGGGCCAGTTTCTTTCAACCTCATGAATTAAATTTGTGAACATCCTATCAAAATATGTGTTAAAATCTATAACATATTTGTATTGTATGTCCAAGAACTAAGACTTGTGACAGTTTCAAGAAACTAGTTCAAAGGCCAGAATCACATAATTTAGACTGTGTTTTGATTTTATTCATATATGTAATAGGATGACCTATAATAAATTTCATCTCCCTTATTACAGGATATCCAACATGAGGCAGATTTCCTGATCAAACCAGAATCGGCAGCGGCCAAACTTGAGACAGCCCATTGGCCTCTCCTGCTCAAAAACTATGATAAACTGAACATTAGAACGGGGCACTACACTCCATTACCTAATGGCTGCTCACCACTCAAAAGAGAGATCAAGGAATATGTTTCGTGAGTATTCTATCTACCCTTTCTTGCAATTGATGACTGAAGCAAGATGTATCAACCTACTAGACATCAGTAACCAAAAGTCGTTTTTGCTTGTTTGATGGGCAAAGAAAACAAGTATTTATAATCCCAAATCCCATATAGGAAATAGGTGAGGGAAAGGTTGAAAGAATGGTCATACATCGGTCTGTTTGGCACCAAATTAAGAACTACTGGTAACCCTAAGAAGGTTGTGCTGAAACTGGACAGCAACCCCACCCACTTCCCCCTCTTTACAAGTTAATTTGCGGGAAACTAATATTTAGTGTAATCAATTACATAATTGGAGTTGCGCCAAAGAAAAATATCAAAATTGTCAAAATATGAGAGGGGAACAATATTTTCAGTTCTGAAGTTCAGGGTCAATTTCATTACTTCTTGTCCTTAAATTTTGGCTAAACTTTTTTTTGACTGCTGATTCTTCTTCTTTCATCAGGAGTGGTTTCATCAACCTTGACAAGCCAGCGAATCCATCATCTCATGAGGTCGTGTCATGGGTCAAGAAGATCCTTAGGGTCGAGAAGACCGGTCACAGCGGGACCCTTGACCCCAAGGTCACTGGATGTCTTATTGTCTGTATAGAACGAGCCACACGATTGGTCAAATCACAACAGAGTGCAGGTACTACCAATAACAATTGATAGTAGATTAGACTTCTAGAGCTCTTCATACAAAAAGTTTCTAAGTGCTTTACACTGTAAATTAGTAGAAAATAATATCCAAAAGTCATATAGTAAATATAATATCATGTATTAACAGTAAGTAAAGAAATTTACAGATTTACATTCGTACACTAAGACTACATGCATAGGGTCGAATACAAAATAATCTACCGTAAGTGTATGTGCAGGGCTCTGATCAAGGGCATAAAAGTGTTACATATGAGGTGAATTTTAAAAGTCAATTATAGACTGTGGCAACATTAATTTTGTAATCTGCAAACATTATGCAACACATAGCTAAAAAATCAGACCTTAACAAATTGCCGTTAAGCGGCAATCAGTAGCCAAATATCACATCATCAAAAATGTTACGTACATAACTCGGTGTCCACTTCATGCTGATATTTCTCTTATAATTTAAATTTTTCTCAACAAAGTACATGAGATGTTAAAACATACCCTAAACAAAACTTAAAACCATTGCCATATTAACTTTTTTCAATTTAGTTATTAGAATTTGGCCAAAACAAATATGGACACCGAGTTATGTACAGTACATCTTATTCTCTAGATGCTTTCTCTTTGCCTTATTGTCAGATATGGTTTTGCATTAGTCTAATATCGACTTCAATTGAAGGAATGATGTGTTTCCTGAATGAAACATAATTTGCAATGTGTAAATAGTTTGTAAACTACTATTTCAGGACTGAAATGTTAGATTTCTGTACTTAATCGTACATAACTGTGGACACCAAAAGTAAGTAGTTTTACATTCAAATTATAACTTCTTGTTCCTTAAATTCAATAAATGTTTGTTTAAATGAAAATGCAGAAGGGTGCAATTCATGCTGACAGAAATAAATTGATTCATTTATGATAATTTATTTCAAATTGTGATTGGTAGTAACGTACATAACTCGGTGTCTTTTTATAACGGTGTCTTAGTTATGTACATGACATGAAAAAGCTCAAACTGCAATATTTTGTAATATTCTTCTCACCAAATCAGACGTGTGTATGTCTTATACATTGTTTACTACCTTACCATGACAAATAACTAAATATAGGTGGTCTTATTGAAGAAAAAAAAACATGGTGTACGTACATAACTCGTCACGTACATAACTCGGTGTCCATTCATTGTTGATTAAATCACACATACAAGTTAAAATGGGGAATCCAATGTTATCAGTGCTCTTCATTCACCTATATACACCATTGCATTATCATTTTGAAAGAATACAATAAGTTTTTGTATAGATTCTGTTGCATGGTTTGTTCATAACTACAGGACACCAAACATTTTCCATTTTCAGAAATCTGAATATTTTTAAAACCATGACCCAGAATGAAATGATCTGATTAGAAATCAAAGATAAAGTGAAACTAAACATTATAACATTGCAAGCTTGTAAATAAATCAATTATTTATACACCATTCTTCAGTTAGTAAGATTTGAAATTTGCAGGACACCAAAGTTATGTACATATCACAAAAATTGTATCACGTGTAAATGGAATAAGAAAGTAAAATAATAGGAATTAACTCAACAGAAATGTTAATTATTACATAGATTCTACATCAAGATTTAAAAAAATCACAAGTTTTGCATCCCATTAGTAAAAATATGGTATCCAATTAGTGCATGTTTTGAATGTAACGTTAAAAGTGCTTAAAATAGGCCTTTTTTCATCATAAAATTGCTCTAAAATCTTTAATTTTAACTCAATGAAGCTGAAAACTTGTTTGGAGCTTCCCCCAATGGTACTTTTTAATATAAAAATGCTAATTTGTGTCTGGGTCTCATGGTTTTGGATAATTGAACAATTTCCCAGTGTTCAATCTACATTTTTGTAAGTGTACCCTTGATCTGAGCCATGCACACATACAAAGGTAAACCATATATACATTTTTAAAGGTAATAGATGTTGAATCTTCAAACTTTGATGTTTGAAGTCATCATGAATTTGTATTTTCAGTAAAGATAACATCAAGAACCTGTTTAGTCATGTCAATATGATTCTAAGAATGCTTCAGTCGTGGATTAATCTTTTTCAATGGAAGATTTTGAAATCCCCTAGATAAATGGCAACTACTATTTCCCTCATTAAATTGACCAATTATTCAAATGTCCTTTTCTTAATGGAGTAGATGAAAAGGGATTAATTCCAGCAAGAAATTTGCATTTGATTACTAATCAATTTATTTCATTTGATATTTATATTGATTTGTTAAGGGGTACTTAATCTTTTTGTTGATCATTAATTACCTGTTTTGACATGTTTTGTCTGTCTATAGGCAAGGAATATGTCTGCATAGTCAGGTTACATGATGCGATTGAGAACCAGTCCAAACTAGCAAAGGTGAGATATTCTGCAAAAGTGATGCTTTTCCCCTTTAGTATAAACTGTCTCAGATAATAAGACTACCAGTAAACCAATACTGCATCATTGTATGCACATGTTGGCTAACGTAAGCGCAGAAAACCTGAGAATTTGTAGGTTTTGTTGTCCTTTCTGCATACATTGTACCTTTTAGTTAAATTTACAAAGATGTACACACTTACACAAAACAGATTATTGATTAAGAAGTGCTGAAATTGGTCTAATCCCTCCTGGCGAAACTAGTGCAGATAAGCTTTAAAGAGTAACATTTATTTTTTGTGTGTATACTCATTATAGTAATCCATTACAAATGAAGTATGATAATTAAATATTGTTTTTTGCTTTGACAGGCTATTGAGACACTGACAGGAGCACTGTTCCAGAGACCACCCTTAATATCAGCTGTCAAACGACAACTCAGAGTGAGAACAATATACGAAAGCAAACTCATCGAATATGATCCTCAAAGACACTTAGGTATGAGACATACACTACACAATTGCAAGTATGGCAATTATATGGTGAATTTCCCCTTCAATTTAGTTCTGGTAATGCTCATGTATGTTTGTCACTGGTTTATCTAAAATTTAAAATAGAGCAGCAATAAGATGTTAGGGAATGTTTAGCTCTTTTAGTAAACTACATTCAAACCTGCTTTAGTGACCACTTGTCTACAAAGACCACCTGTCTACAAAGGCCACATTTGTTGTTTCCCTTGAAAATAGTTTCTCATTGAATCATGTACAAAAGGAACCTGTCTACAAAGACCACCTGTCTACAAAGGCCACTTTTTGTGTTTCCCTTGGGCGGTCGCTATAGACAGGTTTGACTGTATCATTGTTTCTTGTTCTTTTTTCTCATCTTTCAGGACATGTCTAATATTCTTTGCTTGCACCTGATTTGAAAAAAATTGACATTTTTAGTATGTTCATATTGTTAGCAAGTACAATTTGTATCTGAGAACTTGCAGGAAAAGTATGAAACGGGGAAGAACATTTCCTCTATACACTGAATCTTCTCCTCCTAATGTTGTCCTTCATCCTTGACTTGTTTCAGGTATTTTCTGGGTGAGTTGTGAAGCAGGAACATATATCAGGACACTGTGCGTCCATCTTGGACTCCTGTTAGGGGTCGGAGGTCAAATGGCGGAACTCAGGAGAGTAAGATCTGGTATTCAGTCAGAAAAGGTAAGTGCACTGGTGTTTATATGTAAGGCACAGTATGAATTTGCATCCTTGTCTCCGAGTCTGTTAAGTCTTACAGAACTGATTTGCTGTAGTGTGTTTGTATTTTCATCCAGCATGTTCCAGTAATAGGAAATAATCCAAAGTGAGATGTTTACGGTCCTACCGATGTTGGGATTGGAAGTTTTTGCGGCATGCATTTCTCTTCAACTATTACCAATGGTCCATTGCAAAGATTGATGAATATCAGATTCACTTTGAAGCAACATACTCGCCTCTTATTTCAATAATCGGGAGCGCCAGGAGTGTCCAGTCTGACAGATATGAGCGCTATACAAGAACTCACTATTATTATTATTATTATTATTATTGAATTTTAACATAAACCTCGAACCAACCCTATACCCCTAATCCTAAGCCCAACCAAAAACCAATGGAAACACTATTCCTTGAGCTATACCTTGGATAAGATAAAAACATTCTGAATTTTTCTGATAACCTGTCGTATCAAACCCTTTTAATCTGCAGGAAGCGCTGGTGACGATGCATGATGTCCTAGATGCCCAATGGGTTCATGACAACCATAAAGATGAAGGTTACCTACGACGAGTCATCAAGCCTATGGAAGCTCTACTGACAGGCCATAAGAGGATAGTACTCAAAGACAGCTCGGTGAGTAGATAGTAGCTGAGAGTAGTTCTGTATGTCCTCAAAGATAGCTTTAGGGCAATGGGTACATTAAGACGAGAATGACCTAAGACAAGTCATAAAGCAATAGAACCTCTACCAGCAGGCCACAAAAGGATAGTACTCAAAGACAGCTTGGTGACTTTCTTCAGGTTGTGTAGTTGTTTTCTGTCAGTCCTGCATTCTGCGAATCTTAGCTTTTCTCAAGAACAGTTTTGGGCCTGAATCTCATGAGCAACAGCCAAAGGTTATTAATGCTCTGTATTTAAAACAAACTTTTATTTGATTCAGAGGAAAACAGCTTTGTGGGTGTAATCAATTTAGGTTTAATTTGCTGAATCCTTTGCACAAGCATGGTGTATCTCCCTTCACCAAGACTGATATTTGTGTTTAGTGCCTTTTGGTATAGAACATTTACCCTTTAACATTTCTTTGGTCCCCACAGCTCATCCCATCAGTTGAACATAGTCTGATAGGTTTTGCCAAGTAGTTCTTCGCTGGAGACTATCTGCATTTTCAGCTGGACAATGATAATTCTACCATGCAAGTGCCATGTCTTAACAATTATACAGAGAGGCCAGTTTTCAGGCTCTGGCGAGTTATTTTCAGACCATAGTTAAGGCTTTTTTTGTGTACAAAATAGCTCATTCTAGGTGATTTTCAAGCCTTTTGATCAGTTTTAACTGGCATCCCTGATTATATTATGTCTCTATTCCCCACCTTTCTTTGTTCAGGTGAACTCAGTCTGCTATGGTGCCAAGGTCATGCTCCCTGGCGTCCTTCGCTTCGAGGACGGCATCGAGATGAACTCAGAGGTCGTGCTGATGACCACCAAGGGAGAGGCCATCGCCCTGGGCATTGCACTGATGACCACCTCTACCATGGCCACCGTTGACCATGGTCTGGTGGTCAAGCTAAAGAGGGTCATCATGGAGAGGGATGTGTACCCCAGGAAATGGGGCCTCGGACCAAAGGTACGTCTTGCAATGAGACACTATAATCATGGTTCATTCCATTCTTTCATTTATCTTATTTAAAGGCATGGATATTGATTGCAAGGGGTCTTCCCACTGAAAAGTTTGCATTTACAGTATGCTTTGTTGTGCATAGATGAAGTATAAGAGCTTTGGTTGGGTTGAAGATCAGGTTAGGATTAGGATCAGGTTAGGATTAGGATCAGGTTAGGATTAGGATCAGGTTAGGATTAAGATCAGGTTAGGATTAGGATCAGGTTAGGATTAAGATCAGGTTAGGATTAGGATCAGGTTAGGATTAAGATCAGGTTAGGATTAGGATCAGGTTAGGATTAAGATCAGGTTAGGATTAGGATCAGGTTAGGATTAAGATCAGGTTAGGATTAGGATCAGGTTAGGATTAAGATCAGGTTAGGATTAAGATCAGGTTAGGATTAGGATCAGGTTAGGATTAAGATCAGGTTAGGATTAGGATCAGGTTAGGATTAAGATCAGGTTAGGATTAAGATCAGGTTAGGATTAAGATCAGGTTAGGATTAGGATCAGGTTAGGATTAAGATCAGGTTAGGATTAAGATCAGGTTAGGATTAGGATCAGGTTAGGATTAAGATCAGGTTAGGATTAGGATCAGGTTAGGATTAAGATCAGGTTAGGATTAAGGTAAGGTTAGGATTAAGATCAGGTTAGGATTAAGATCAGTTGTTAAGATCAGAGTAAAAGTTGAAAACGTAGCTAGTATAAGAACACTACTTGTCACCTTATTGTTGTACAATCTACTTACCGTATCTATGAACACCGTAGGGAATTCATACTTCAACTTTGCCTATGGGTCGGAAGGACATAGCTATAAATATTGTTGAAAGAGGTACTCTTGAGATATTGCATGTGGTTTATGTTGAATGGTAGAAGAGTATGTAATAAGCAGGGGTGATAGTTGGCACTAACCATCTCCCCCTCCCCTTGAGTAGAAATAGGGGCATCTAAAAACATTCTCTGCCTTTTCAGTAAGAAAATTGGGAAAATAAAGGAAAAATCAGGTAAATAGGGGTGAAATTGGGAAGAAGAAAACAAAATTGGGAAACCGATTTAAATCGGGTAATTATCAGGTCTGAATAAGAGATATAATAGACATTCTGAACTTATACTTCATTTTTCCCCTCAGCCATCTTTAAAACACTTTTTGCATTATTGTTTTATGTTGCAGGCGAGCATGAAGAAGACGATGATCAAGCAGGGCAAGCTGGATAAGCACGGCAAAGCAAACGCAGAGACTCCCAAAGACTGGATCAAAGGCTACCAAGATTACAGGTCAGTTACCAGTAAACCTCTTCACACATATTCATGGATGCTTCTCTAAGAGCCTTGTAACGAACTCTTATACTTGCATGTTAAAGGGGCTGTAGCATGACGAGACTATGTGTCTTTCCAGTGGCCTGACTCGGGGCCAATCGTATATAATACGACTACTGACGACTGGACCGCAGTAGGCCTACGTATTCATGTGCATGCAACATACGCGAAACTGAAGCGTGAGGAGAACTTTGGTCTGTTATCGTGAACGCTAGTGCGCGCTGACCCAGTTAATCAAGTCCATTCGTTTATGTGCAGTTGTCCAAAAGAAGTTGCAGATGGCGTTAACCAGTCTTTGCCATGCTACAACCCGAGTGTCAATAATCAGGATTAAGTTTGCATACATTATTGTTGCTAGTCCGCAAACTCTTTAGCTTTCACCTTTCCCAGAACCCAACCTTCTCTTTAGTTATGGAGGTGCTGTGGTATAGTGGTTCATTCACTTGACTCTCAATCCATGGGCTGAGGGTTTGTATCCCAGCCCGGCACTAACATCCTACGGCAAGACTAATTTGCCACTTTCCACTTTTTACTTGTAGCAATACATATTTGGCTATCAGCTATGACTGGGGTGGTGATGTGAGAGTGCATCACAGCATGATAGACATGTGCGCTATATAACTATAAGAAGCCACCATTAATATTATTATGATTATTATTAACTAATTTAGCTCTTCATAATATTGTCATTCCCTGCAGTGTGAAGAAGGAGGAGGCAAAACCAGAGGAGGAGAAGTCTGCCGTGGAAACACCCGTCAAGAAACGAAGGAGAGAGTCGAGTACTTCCAGCACTGAAGCAGCTCCAGTCACACCGTCCGGAGACGCATCAGCGGTCAAAGAGAAGAAGAAGAAGAAGAAGGATAAGAAAGCTAAGGCAGAAGCAGTAGAGGAGGAGGAAGAGATGGAGACATCGGTTGTAGAGGTGAGATGTGATACAAGTTTCTTTCTACAGTCAAACCTGTCTATAGCAACCGACCAAGGAAAACACAAAAAGTGGCCTTTGTAAACAGGTTCCTTTAGTACATGTTTCAATGAGAAAACATTTTCAAGGGAAACAAAAAATGTGGTCTTTGTAGACAGGTGGTCACTAAAGCAGGTTTGACTGTAATTATTAATGAGCTGTACTCATGTATTTGATCTGGGACCTTTGCCTATACTTGGTCATCTCTTGCAGTGCTAGTTATCTAACTATCCCTGACTCTAAACGGGCTGTGTGTGGTTCGTACTGCCCAAATCGTAACATTGTATCCAAAAATGTTGGACTTTATTCACCTTTTTTCCCTCAACATTTTAGGAACCGAAAATCTTGTATTTAAACACATGAAGGAGTGTTTGTTGAAAAGTTGGATGTCGGTGAACACTGTGTATCACAGAAAGTTACGTCTCATGCTTGTCTCATGAAATTTTGATTATAAGGTCCACAATCAAGATTTGAGTGGAATAAATAACTTGCCAAGAATGATAGAGTTGCTGCTGGAGATTGCTTTATAAGCTGTATTTAATTTATTTGATCTGGGACCTTCCCCTATACTTGGTTATCTCTTGCAGCTAACATTTCTTTTCATACCATGCTTTGTTTTTATCCATCTCAGACACCCAAATCAGAGAAGAAGAAGAAGAAGAAAAAGAAGGTGGAGGCAGAGGAGGAGGAAGCAGACGAATCGTTAGCCGAGGTAAGAATCACTTCAAGCATTTGTCTATCAGTCGAAAAATCTAGGCCTAACATGTGCTTTGTTGATATTAAAGTGTTGAGGAAATTAGTAGGAAACCATCATCTTGATACATGTTATGCCTGTGTGTGTGTGTGTGTGTAATTGTGTCAGTAATTTGAATTGAATTCTTTCAAGAAGATGCTTAAACATTTTTATGAAGATGAGCAGGTTCTTTCAAACGCAAGAAAATTTGTTGTATTACTATATAAATGGAGACATGTGCAACTGATGTAACAATGTTTGTTTTACTGATATGTGACAACGTGTACTTTGTTCAAATCTATGTTTTGTTCTTGTTCAAGAAATGATTGAATAAGAATTTTCTTTGAAAAAAAGGAAAACAAATTATGATGTAAGGGGCATTAATCCATATAATAAAGATGATTTTCTTTTTTGCATGTCTATCTTCCGTCCACACTTCTACAAAAAACCATCTTGCTCTTATGCATTTATTATTCATTTCAATGCAGACACCTAAGTCAGAGAAGAAGAAGAAGAAAAAGAAGATGAAAGTAGACGAGGAAGTGGAATTAGAGGAATCTGTAGTAGAGGTAAGATTCATGGTGAAATATTGTTCATTTGGTCCAGGGGGGAGGGGGGGGGGGGGTGTTCACAAAGACTAAGATCAACTTTAAAGCAGGGCTCCCACTTAGCCGAGTTGGAGCCGCGAGTTGTGGCGAGCTGGCGCGATCTTATGGCAAGCAGTTTTTATCATTAAGAAATATTTCTTGATATCAAGAATTCAATTCTTGATATCACGAAATCGAATTCCTGATATCACAAAATTGAATTCTTGATATCAAGAATGACCATTGCTTACAACATAAAATTATTTCTTGATAGCAAGAATTGATTTATTGATATCAATTAATAATAAAACTGCTTGCCATAAGATCGCGCCAGCTCGCCACAACTCGAGGTTTCAACTCGGCTAAGTGGGAGCCCTGCTTAAGTTGGACTTAACTACAGCAGGCCAGTCATGCCACTGTTTTCTTTCACCATTTACTGGCATTTGTCTCTCAAGGGATGTACAAATCATTGTCACAAATCTACAGAATCTACTAATTTTGATGATTCATTATTGAAGGGAAAAATATTATCTAAAGATCATAATGGTGAAAGCAAACAGTGGCATGAATGACCTGCCATAGTTACATCCAACTTAAAGTTGATCTTAATCTTTGTGAAACACCCCCCTAGTCTCTAGAAGACTCTCTAATGGGGTAATATGCCTAACCACAGAGATACATCTTACTAGATAATTAACATAAAGTGTAGTCGCATTTATCACTTATCTGTGGTGATAAGATGGACCAAATAATAAACAGTGCTTGTGTTCAAAATATGCTAACATTGTCTTTGTCTATGAAGGAGGCAATTTAATTCTGATGGTATTTTGAAGAGATGAAATATGTTTATGACCAGACAGTGCCGTAGAAAGGTGCATTATAATCTCTGTATAGAGCAGTGTAGTTTCAATTTAATTCAATTCAAATTTCTTGGTCCAAAAGGAAATCCATTTCAAATAAATGCATTTAGTGATGAATGTCAGTCCCACAGCTATCTCGTGAGCAGTGAGAGAATAGCCATGGATGCCAAAAGCAGAAGGAAAAAAAAGAAGACTGTTAGTACCTGTGACGAAATATAATATAAATATCACAATATAAAGTGTAGTACTACATTTTCTAGATATTATCGTTCTTATCAATGATACTATAGATTTTGGAAGATCAAACTGTTACTTCTCCATAGTAACTGTCTGGTTCAAACCGTGACAAGCAATATCCTTTTGCTAATATTTGTTCTTCCTGTTTTCATTGTGCATTGCAGACTCCTACATCAGAAAAGAAGAAGAAAAAGAAGAAAAAGAAGGAGAGAGAGGAGGATGACGACTGAGAAGAGTTCTTTATTAACTGTGCCAGAAGGGGTTCATGACCCCCCCCCCCCCCTCCCCCTCTCCCCTTCTTCCACCTTCCCTTCTTCCACCTCCCCTCTTCCACCCTTCCCTTCATTTGAAAGATTCCTGGGTGATCTTGGACCAGCTGCCCCTCACAGTCCCATGAAGTTAATGTACATGTACTGACGTAGTATCGACTGTTCGTCCATATACAAAGGACACCTTGGAATGAGAACTTGTATCATACTGAAACCCAAAATGGGATGCCTGATCAAATGGCACATATTTAATTGGACAAATGAAACACCGTGATATATATATATTTCTCTCTCTCTTTCTCTCTCTCTGTTAGTCGATCAGGTCAAGTAAAATTGGTCCAATAGTGTTAAGAAAAGTAATTTTCCTTTGCATGAGTCCACTTCTTCTGTTATTTTAAATCTGTTTTAATTGTATAGCACTCTCTAACGTATGGTAGGGTCTTTGTAAGATTACAATTGGTTTGTACATTGAGCCAGATGAGTATTAACACTGTATTCACAAGCACAATTCCATTGCTCTCTCTGTCCATTCCCAAATAGTCTGGTTGGATTCTTAAGAGAAAATGAGCATTGATTTTGTTTTTCATTATTCGTAAAGTTGGTAACAACCATTTTTATAATTTAGATATCTGATCTCAAAAGATTGATAACTTGAACAGATTTTTTTTCTTCATTTGAGGGAGAATCGGTTCCTATGAAGAGTAAGGCTTCTTTTTTTCACTACCTCTTCTAGTTTTATGTATGCTACATGTGTTATGTTTAAGAAAACAGCAAATCCTTTTCCTTTTTACTATGGCTCTTAATATCTGAGCAGTAATGATGCAGCTATGTTAATGTAGTACTTTCTGTTAATGTGATACATCACGATTATGAATTGAAAGAAAGTATGATTGAATGAGTGATGGCCAAAATTGTACTTTTTGAAAAGACATGTAAATAGTCTAAAGCAAGTTTTTGAATAAAATGTAAGTATTAAAATTTGGATATGACTGTGTTTGTTATTGATTTCGAGGTTCATGGGTTCGTTCAATGAGGCTTCCATGAGCATAGTACAGTATGTAAAAGAGTCCATTAGAGGCTAGAATCTCAAAGTTTATCTGAACTGTTGGCTTGAAGGAGTGGCAGAAAGGAAAGCATAAACTAGAGGGAAAAAGTAAAGAAAGAAAAGTAGAGAGGAAGAGGTGAAGAAGAGTGTCCATGTCCATGTCCATGTCGCAACACACATGCACTCGCACACATCTGCAAGAATCTTCAGCAGTGAAGGAGGCAGATTATTTTGAAGAAGAAGAAGAAGAGTGAGGGAGGGAGAAGATATGATGACGGAGAGAGATGGAAGGAGGGAGAGAGGGTGAGAAAGAGAGAAAGGGGGTGGATAGAAAGAGGGCGAATTTTGTTAAAAAGCAAGTGAGAATAGCGACATTTTGTATCTTGTTACTGTACAGTGAAAAACGCGCCTAAAACTTGTTATTCGCCCGAATAATTAGCTGATTCAAACAACATTTTGTAAGGAGTTGTTAACAAATAGCCTACTCTTTAAATCCCCCACAGCTACCTCTGTAAAGGTTAAATCCATTTCATCGGAGGGAACTTCATGTTATTCACTGAGGGATTAACAGAACAAGAAGCAAATAATACCTCGATCCAGATCAGGAAGGATTTTAGGTTTAATGATCCTTGAAAAGAATACCCTTTTGTACAGCCATCATAAAAACGTATACAATCCCAGGGATTAATTGGGCATTAGCGAAGAGGAGCCCTCCTTGATAAATAGGAATGGTCATTTCATCCACCCAGGCATGAAAGGGTACAAGTATTATTCTCGACCATTAACGATGCTCCGACCAATCTTAGTAATTCCAAGAACCACGTATGATCAACTTTTAGTAGGACTGTCTGGAGCGATACATATAGGCCTACTTTGTTGAGATTCAGAGGCCTATCTGTTTCGTAGTCGGTGATTTAACCATGTATACATACATTCAGAGGTGGATCCATGATTTTCTCAAAGAAGGGGTCACGTCGCTTGGGTTTAAAGAAAAGTAGGGGTGGGGGGGGGGGGGGGGGGGGGGGGGGGGGGGGGGTGGGGGGACTACTCTCTAAAAAAAAATCGAGTGATCTGGAGAGTGAAAATATAGTGAAAATAGAGTGAACATTCACTCTTTTCTTCTTAGAGAGCACTCTAAAATCAATCGATTTTCACTCCTAAACAAGTGATCACGGACTTCACTCCCAAGAAAGTGAAAATAGAGTGAAAATTCACTCTTTTTTTTAAAGAGAGTATTTTGTTTAAATTGAGACACGAGAGGTGAGGATGGGAATAACCTACTGAGGGTGGGGGTCCAGGTTGATGTAAAATGGAGGAAAAATTCATATAAATATACAGGAATGTAAAAGAAAATCTAGATTTCTGCTCGGAGTTTGGGAAAATACACGATATATACAGTGGCGGATCCAGGGGGGGGCCGAAACGGCCGCGGCCCCCCCTATTGGCGGCGCAAAAAAAGAGGAAGAAAAGAAGAGAAAAAAAGAAAGGAGAAGAGGAGAAGAAAAAAAGGAGAAGAGAAAAGAAAGGAGAAGGGAAAAGAAAAGGAAAGAGAAGAGAAAAGAGAAAAGAAAAGATAAAGAAGAAAGCCCAACTCCCCCCCCCCCCCCCCCTCCCTCCCACTCCGGGGTCGGAGGGACCGAATTTGTGTTCCTAAAATTTCCGATAAAGAGTTACTTTTCACGCAACAAAGTCCGGCCCGTAATACACAAAAATCCGGCCCGTACTGACTTACACCGGAGATAGAGGGGTGCTTTCAAAGAGAGGGAACATACATGTGCGTACCCTTTACTGAGTGGGTGGGGGGAGAAAACTCGGTGAGAAAGGGGGAAAGACAAAGAAATGGCGCTAAGTGACAGTAACGACGAATAAGGGAAAACTGCAATCGGGAGATTTGGGGTCATTCCAGAAGGCTTGGCAAACGTTATTGAATAGAGGGGGCCGGGCCGGCCGCATAAAATCTCGAGCCGCGGATTCAAAGTGAAAAAAGCCCCTGCGCTACAAAGGTCATCACTCTTTAGTGAGAAATTTGAAAAGGGCACAATATTTTGGATGTCTTTTAAATAGAAGCTAAATACTCAACAGTCAAATTTTAAATTAACGGTAGTTCCGCTTCATAACTCTTATTTTGCCCTTCATTTGGATTCAGCTCATACCAACTCGCTTGTGCTTGTATTTGAACTCATGTTGGTAGTAATCATGGACAGGGGCGGCAATCCTGGGCCCGATAGGGAGACACGTCCCCCAGGAAGTTTAGAAATATAGCTAGAAAGAAATATAGCGGAATTTTCTAGAATGCATGATTTCAACATTGCAAAATCTCGCTTGGTCGCTACGCCCCGGCCCTCGCCCGATAACACAAAACTATGATATGACGCTCCCGGCCGTGATTTATCCATGGTTGGTGTAATAGATTTTGTTTCCCTTTCATTACTACCAACCTAATTGTGTGCTATCACAATCATGATTGTTTCATTTTCCCTTTAAAGCAGGCGCGTAGCCAGGGGCGGTAGGGGCAGACAAAGAAAAAAATTGAAAATTCTGACAAGTCGAGAACGGTACAACGAATCGTCTTCTTTCTCTAATAATTTAATGAAATGTCAAAGCTTCCGCGCTTCGCGCGGGAAGGGGGGGGGGGGGGGGGGGGACTCAATTCATACAAGGATAAAGAGTCGAGAATGGTACAAAGAATCATCTCCTTTCACTTATAATTTAAAGAAACGACAAAGCTTCCGCGCTTTGCGCGGGAGGGGGGGGGAACTAAATTCAGACAAGGATTAAGAGTCGAAAGTGGAACAACGAATCATCTTCTTACTCTAATAATTTAATGAAACGTCAAAGCTTCCGCGCTTCGCGCGAGAGGGGGAAACTGAATTCAAACAAGGATTAAGAGACGAGAATGGTACAACGATTAGTCTTCTTCCCCTAATAATGTAATGAACCGTCAAAGCTTACGCGCTACGCGCGGGCGGGGACAAACTGAATTCAGACAAGGATTAGGAGTCGAGAATGGTACAAAGAATCGTCTCATTTCTCTTATAATTTAATGAAACGACAAAGCTTCCGCACTTCGCGCGGGAGGGGGGGGGGGAACTCAATTCAGACAAGGATTAAGAGTCGTGAAAGGTACAACGAATCGTCTTCTTTCCCTGATAATTTAATGAAACGTCAAAGCTTCCGCGCTTCGCGCGGGAAGGGGGGGGGGAGACTCAATTCATACAAGGATAAAGAGTCGAGAATGGTACAAAGAATCATCTCCTTTCACTTATAATTTAATGAAACGACAAAGCTTCCGCGCTTTGCGCGGGAGGGGGGGGGGGGAACTAAATTCAGACAAGGATTAAGAGTCGAAAGTGGAACAACGAATCATCTTCTTTCTCTAATGATTTCATTAAACTATGAAAGGCCAAAGCTTCTGTGCTTCGCGCGGGAGGGAGCTGAGGGGGGCTGAATTTAGTCAAGTCATAAGAGTCGAGAATGGTACAAAAAAATCTTCTTTTTTCTATAATGATTAATTAGACGTCAAATCTTCCGCGCTTCGCGCTGGAGGGGTAAACTGAATTCAAACAAGGATTAAGAGACGAGAATGGTTCAAAGATTCGTCTTCTTCCTCTAATAATTTAATGAACCGTCAAAGCTTACGCGCTACGCGCGGGCGGGGAAAAACTGAATTCAGACAAGGATTAAGAGTCGAGAATAGTACAAAGAATCGTCTCCTTTCCCTTACAATTTAATGAAACGTCAAACTTCCGCGCTTCGCGCGGGAGGTGGGGGGGGGGGGGGGGGGAACTCAATTCAGAGGAGAATTAAGAGTCGAAAATGGAACAATTAACGAATCATCTTTCTCTAATAATTTCATTAAACTATGAAAGGCCAAAGTTTCCGTGCTTCGCGCGGGAGGGGGGGGGGGCTGAATTTAGTCAAGTAATAAGAGTCGAGAATGGTACAACAAATCTTCTTCTTTCTCTAATAAAAAGCCAAAGCTTCCGCGCTTCGCGCGGGCGGAAGGAAACTGAATTCAGACAGGGATTAAGAGTCGAGAATGGTACAACAAATCGTCTTCTTTCTCCAACAATTAAAGAAAGGTCAAAGCTTCTGCGCTTCGCGCGTAATGGGGGGGGGGGGGGGAGTTTTTGATATCTTTTCTCGTTTATTTTGGTGATAAATAACACTTTCATAAAATACATATTATGCTCAAATTGTTGCTCGCTCGCTTCGCTCACTTTTTCGAATTGTGAAACCAGAAAATTACTTTTCGGGCAAGAGGCTATAGCCCCCCCCCCCCCGATGAAAATGTCAAAAATTGTACCGGTATGGTGCTTCTAATATGACCTTGTCAGTATTGGTATGTTGAGTTGAAAAAAAACGGTCTGCGCAATTTTCAAATTTCCGGCCCCCCCTATTGGAAAATCCTGGATCCGCGCCTGATATACGTACATATATTATGTAGTACAAGAGTTAGCCTATGCCACATTAGTTTAAAAAGGGTTGGGGTGCATCGTGCCCTCTCCTAATCCGCCCCCTCCAAATCCGCCCCCATCCATCACACCACCCGACCTATTCATCTACTAATGCATACAAACCTGTAGTGTTAGTTTGTAAGCATTGAAGTAAAAATCCTTACACACAAACAGGGGGCCCTGCAACCAAGCACATCGACCAATCTATAGCACTGGAGAGAAGTCAGTGCTGTCGCCCTCTGCGTTTGGTGGCATGTATCACAATGGTCATCTTTCAATACAATTTGACACCCGATGAATATTTTAATATACTTCTGTCAATTATGAAAATTGTTCTCGTTACATTCACATGCTGAGTTAGCTAAGTAATTGCTAATTATTGCCAGGTATCATTAGTTGACGCTGAATGTCGTAGTACATGTAGTATCATCTTTGAAATTGGATGGGCTAGAAGCCGCTAGATGTATTTGTAACAATATGTT